GAAGTGGACTCTCGAGAATGGTACCAAACCCACGGTCGTGGCCCGAGCGCTGAACTGCACGCAACTCAAGGATTTCCAAACGGACCTCGCACTCGGAATTCAACCCTATCAGAAGCTTGTTGGAAGATAAGCAGGGTTTCATAGCTTTTCCTGCGACTGGCTCGTACCTCGTTTCCGAAAGGATCAGAAATCCCGTCCGGCTCACTGCATGAGCCTGCAAAATAGACGAACCATCTGCCGAATTAACTCTGCAAGACGTGCTGCATCTTGCAAGACGGGAGCTACTGGTCAGAGCGGGAAACAGGGACTTAGGCTTTCGTGCACTGAGCTGCGATCGCTGGATCTACACCAGTTCTGCCTTGTGATTATTTTTAGCAGATACACGAAGCTCAGGACGACTGTCGTCACTTAAGTCTATGGCAAGACTTGGCAAGTATCCCCATGAAATCCGTTGCTCGCCTACTCGGCTTAATTGAGGAGACGTCGCTAGTAAGTCTATGCGCGCCATGTGATCACATGTTCGTGTAACACAGCAGCGCAGCAGACCTTCGCACAACCGCCGCTATCACTCCAAGGATCGACGCGTCCCAGCAGCAACCGGCGCAGCGCTCTCCCAGGTATTTCCCACATATTCTCCGGTGCTACCGCTCATTACGCTTCAAGCCTCAGGTTCTGCGGAATGCAGTAATTCACACACAGCTTGTTAGTGCAACATATAATGGAACGGGTATTGGGAGGACCAGACATCCTATGTATCTGGTCCCTCCGCAGTCCTCCTGATCATGAGGTTCCACTCAAGTATTATTATACCTTTGCTTCTGTTCGCCAGACAAGCTCAAGCTGGTCAGCTACCTTCCTTATTTCGCCTGCTGCCCTTTTCCTGACCTCTTTTGGAACAGATGATAGAAATACCTCCGACGACCCTATTGTGTACATAGTTCTTCGTACGTTCGTTATTCCCCATGCTCAGCACCTTCCCCAACAAGCATGAGCATGTCCAGACTATTATCCGAATAAAGCGGCCGCCATAATATTCGGCATCCTCTACCTCACCGTCGGCCTTATCACATCATGGCACGTATGGAGGCACCGCCATTGGTGGGGCCTCTACCTCCCCATCGGCACACTATGTTCGTTTCCGCCCCTAATTCCTCTCGTGCAAGGACTCATTCTTGAATTAATTATGCAGGCATGTCCCTCGGCTACTTCCTGCGCTTCGTCATGGTTCTCAGCTACTCCCTCGAGGACAGCATCGGGATGTACATCGTCCAGGTTATCTTCATCCTCTGCTCCCCCGCCGCCTTCCTCGCGTTCAACTATACCCTCGCCGGGCGTGTCATCGTGCGCTGCATCGGGCGCGAGTTCCCACTCATCCGCCCCGAGCGCTTCGCGAAGGTATTCATTATCAGCGACCTCATGACGTTCAACCTCCAGGTAGGCGTCTATGTGGCATACACCATCAGTCCCTCGCTGAGAGACGTATGTTTAGTCTGCCGGCGGGAGTCTCGCAGCGTCGAAAAACTCTACCGTGTCCAAGTTGGGAAATGATATCGTCCTGGTTGGTCTCGTCGCACAAGGCGCCTCCTACGTCTTCTTCCTCTACGTCGTGCTCGCAGCACAATACCGTTACACCCGGGCGAAACCCGTCGGAGCCCGGCACCAAGAAGAATGGTGGACGGTCATCTGGCTCCTATACTTTTCCTCTGTCCCCATAATCGTAAGTCACCCCTCCCTCCCTCACTTCCATTCCCATCCGCTGCTAATCGTTCCCCTACTCTTCCTATCAATTCCAGATCCGCTCCGTCTACCGCATCGCGGAATTCGCACAGGGCTCCGCCGGCTACTTCATCACGCACGAGGTCTACTTCTACTGCCTAGACGGGCTCCCGCTCTTCTTCGCCGTTGCATGCTACGCTGCCCGGTGGCCTGGGCGGTACGTCGCCGAGACAAGTGAAGGATACAAAATGACTTCAGTATCTACTACTTCTGTCTGACGCGCATGCCAGGCTCAACTTCCATTTTATTGCCCGACCAGGCTTCCGGCGCGGAGAGCTATCCTTTGTCACCTCGGGGGGATTAGTCAATATGCATATTTTAGCCATCGAGAAAAGCGGCCTCGGGGGATGGAAAGGTTATATCCATTGGCATTGCACGTTTTTGAATACTTGAGTACTTAACAATCAAATTTATACTAGTGAATTAGAGCTGAGATAGTACCATGGCGTACTCATGTTAATCTTACAGTGTGAGTGGGACGCGGCCGGGAGAGCCGAACCTGCAAACCTGACGCCGCCGCCACGACCTTCCTGTTTTGGTTCTTCTGCTGCTACATAAGGCAAATGCAGCTGTTGATCAGAGTGCTGCTAACACACGAGTTTGAAGGGACGCAAAGCAACTTTGGAGTATGTCAAAGCATGACATGGGTAATAGTTGGTACATAAATACAATATAAAGTGCAACATCTGTGTAGTATATCAGAACAAGTCCGTGAATTGATTCATAACCGTTCGTGTGTCCATATGTTCGTGTCCTTCTCAGGCAAATCAAAGCAGAGCAACAGCCCCGAGCACGGCAGCCGCCATCACGCCCAAGGCGGACACCTTAACAGCACCCGCCGCACTGTTCCCGTTGTTCCCGAGCACGCCGCCCTGCTCACCAAACGTCACGTTCTGCGGAATGCTTGAGTTCACACACTGTCCGTTGGCAATGTCCAGGTTGAAGAGATCTACATTCCAATTGCTCCTCAGTAACGGTCCAAAAACAAGTCAGGAGGAGACAAGACTCACCCTCGGGCACCCTGTAGAAGAAGTACTTATCGCTGCTCACGTTCTGGAACTCCTTCGTGTTATACGGGATCTTGTCATCGGAATCGGTGCTGCTTGTGTTCCTAATAAAGATGCATGCCAGCTGGTTCGGGAACTGCGTCGAAATCTGTGGATACGCCGACAACAGCGTGCTAGAGGACGTGTCGCCGACCAAGACAAACTTGCGGTTGGGGAACGTCTGGAAGAGCTTGAGCAGCGAATTCTGGCGCGCGTCGAGAACCTGTGAGGGTTCCGTGATGTTGATGGGGCGCATGTCTAGAGAGCCGAGGGGGAAGTTGTTGAAGAGGTACTCGACGTAGGTGCGGGTGAGCTCGACGGGCGTTGTCGTGTCATAGCTAATACGCAGCCGGTTCATTACAACAGTATGGGACAGAGGAAAATGGCTGCTTACTGGAAGGAGACGCCGGGTAGGGTCTGGAGCCAGTGGGCGAAGAGCTCAGTCATACCCGGGACGTTGATGTAGGGCTGGACGAATGAGTTGTAGAGACCTTCGTTGGGGACGTAGACCTTTGTGACTGTCGTACATAGGTAAGTAGTGCTATGATAATTTATGAGAACAGACAACTCACTCCGCAGGACATCGTCAATGTCGCTGACAACCGAGATACCGCTCGAAGGCACAAGGATAGAGGTACCGTTTCCAGGACCCGTAACATCCAGAATGCCAGTCTCCACGACGGTCGTCGCCGCGAAGTTATCGTGGAGACCCGGGATAGTCGTGAAGTAGTCGAACTCTCCAACCTCGTCCGTAGTCGGGATAGCAATGCCGCTCTGGTCGGTCACAGCGCTACCATTGGCATAGACCACCGCTGAGATGTTCGCATTAGCGATCGGGACAGATGCAAGATCCTGAGTGCGGTTCTGCAGCAGTGCTTGCTGAGTGTCATTTAAGTTTGAGGTGGAAAGGCCGTTAATGATAGAATCCAAGTCCGAAGTGGAGACGTTCGGGAGCTTGTAGACGAGGCCATAGAAGCGAACATTCCAGCCCTGCTCGGTGTAGTTCGAGTAGGATGGGATGAGGAGGGCGGAGGCGGAAATGTTCGAGAGGTCGGAAGAGGAGGAAACACCAATCTTGGACTCGATGTCGCTCAAGCTTGGCCAGTCACCCAGCACAGCTGCGTAGCTGTAATTAGCGTTTGCTTAACTTAGACAGGTACCGCAACTTACTCGGAAGAGCCGATGCAGCTGCACCCGTCGCGGAGGAAACTAAGGGACATTATTAGCCTCGGATCTTTTGGTCTATTAAAGTCTGCGTACATGCTGATCCGACTTCAGAAGTGATTGAAGACGCAACCTGTGGCTGAGGCGCGGCAGCGACGAGACTGGCACCGACAGCGGCGAAGAACGCGAGGCAGCGCTGGGACGGCATTGTCGAGGGAACGAGCAAAGGTGGGGGTGAATTGGGAACATAGCAACCATTTTATAGCGGCCATGGAGTGGAGGCAGGCAACATGCAACTGAAGCAGATGATGGTCAATTGCGTCAGAAGTCTAGTATTTTGAGCTATAAATAACTTTGCCTCTGACGTGCCTAGGAAAGCGGTGACGTCGTGCTTCCGAAATTCTCTTGGCAGCTGCTATAGGATGGTCTCTAGGAAAGATGCCGCCGGCAGTCGCCGAAGCTCGCTCTCTCCATACGTACGTATAATTACGGTTAATTCGCAATCCACAGAATTATCTGGTAATGCAATCCTTGTAAGGTCTCTACTCTCGTTCCAGGCAAAGCTGCCTTCAGGCGGTCCTGTGAGGCATCGATGGACCTTTATATTCTCGTTACAGTCGTTGATATTTGAGTCGCAAATCCGTGATCATATCCATGACTGTCTTCTGCCTCGGCTGGGGCTGTATAAAATCCACCTTTTTTAGGACTAGGGCCCTCAACAATGACTTCAGGTACTGGTCTCTATGAGTAGCCCGGGCAGGATCAACCGAAGCTCGATCCTTACTCTCTAGTATGTATCCCTAGGCTGATCTGACAGCAGGAGCCACGCGGTGGTAGGTACCGTTCCGCCTTAGTAACACGGTCATCTACGGGTACACCGTGCTGACGACAACTCTTTTCCTTCTGGGTTTCATCCACATCATATATGCAAAGCACGAGTCCTAAGGATGAATGAACCTGCCTGTGAGAACCGTGCGTGATATGTATATGATTTTGGATAGCTCCGATCGTCATGGCAAGATGGCCGAGCGGTCCAAGGCGCTAGCTTCAGGTGCTAGTCTCTTCGGGGGCGTGGGTTCGAATCCCACTCTTGTCAAATTTTTACTCCTTCTTGCTCTCCTTCTTCTCTCTCAGAAACAGCTCGCAAGCCCTCCAAGACCGTAAGCCTTGGGTCTATGATATATTGTCTCCCAACTTTTGCATCGTAAACTTCCAATCCACCGGCATGCCACAATGACGCTTCCCACGCCACATATCTTGATCGTACAGGCTCTTTAGTTCCGAATCTACGAGGTTGTACGCGACCTGCACTGACGATAAACCTGTTTGCAACTCGACGCGCGCAATAACAATGGACCAGGTAAGCTTTTCAGCTCAGCAAGAAGAAGCATATGCCTATTGCGCAGGAATCTTTCAGACAACTCTTAGAGAGCCGTCGAGGCACGCAGTCGAATGCGAACGGGACGCCAACGGCTCCCAGGGGCTCCTTGGTCGGGAAACCTAAGACCAAGGCGTAAGTGACTTAGTGAATTGCATTAGGACAGTGTGCTCAGTTGTCTGTCTGCATAGGAAGACTGTCAGTGCCTCTGAGCCTGCGTTCCAGCCTAGGAAGGTGAAGAAGCCGGGAAAGTACCGTGATCGCGCGACTGAGAGGAGGGAAGGCGGTCCGAATGACTTTGCGGAGGTATGTAGTAGCTGTCTGGCTGAGTAGGGAGGATTCTCATTTTCACTCGTGATTCTAGGCGGAGGCCCTGTTAGAGGACTTTGAGAAGCGGAACGCTGAAGCTGCCGATGTGCGTGTCACTCATGTCTCTCTCTTCTCGCGTATACTCATATGAACTGTGCTATAAAGCTAGAGGACAAGCGCCGCTACCTAGGTGGCGATTCAGAACATTCAATCCTAGTCAAGGGTCTTGATTTCGCTTTGCTGGAGCAGAATAAGGCGCGCGTAGCGGCAGAGGCAGCAGCTGTAGACGACGAATTGCTGGAGAAGGCGTTCGAGGAGGTGGCTGTTGTGCCGAAGAAGCGTACGCGGGAGGAAATAATGAGGGATTTGAAGGCTAAGAGGAAGAAGGGAGACGTAGACATCAACGTCAACGCGGAAGGGGAGGACGAGGGTGCGAGAGCGGAGAAGGAGAAGGAACAGAAGGAGAAAGATCTGGAGGAGGCGAAGAAGAAGGGGAAGTTTAGGCCGATTGGGTTCAAGCCGATCGGGGGGGCTGCTGAGGAGGGGAAGAAGAAAAAAAAGAAGGAGAAGGATGAAGGCGAGAGGAAGAAGAAGAAGCGAAAGATAGAGAGTGCAGCGCCTGCACCCACAGAGGATAAGACAACAGCGACACGGAATGCTCAACCTAGTACGTCCAAGCAAGAGGCGCCACAACTTCCTGCCCCTGCCATTTCCCCTCCGGAACCCGAGCCCATGGACGACGACTTTGACATATTTGCTGGAGCCGGAGAGTACGAAGGCGTCGACCTTGGAGATGATGAGGACGAAGAAGAAGGCGAGGTTGCTGCTGAGCAGTCTCGCCCAGAAGGGTCTCCCACCGCAGAGGAACCTTCAGAACCGCCCGCTGGTACTAAATGGTTTGCAACAGACGACGAGCGTCCTGCGTTACCCAGCGGGCCTCCGCCCATCTTGGAGAAACTCAAAGCTAAGGCGCGGACGCCGCAGCCGGAGGAGGGTGAGGAGGAAGAGCAGCCCGCTAGGCTGGCTCCGCTGGCGGGTAGTGCGATACCCAGTATCAAAGAGTTCTTGAGGATGGAGGAGGAGGCGGAGAAGGAGAAGAAGAAGAAGGCGAGGAGGGATAAGAAGAAGGGTAAGAAGAGCAAGGATGACGGGGACAGCGGTGAGTTGTTCTTCTCCGGTCTCACAAGTGTATAGGAATGACGCGAATTCGGATTTGCAGAGTAGTTGTCACCACAGTTCATGGTGTCCAGGACCTAGTCCAGTGTCCGCGAGCTTCTGTCCCTCTGGCGTTTCCGACATTTCCTCGTCTCTCTTTCTGATCTGTGGATGTATGCGCACCTAACCTCCGGAATTTCATTCACGAGAAGCATATAGAGCACCCTTCCCATGCATCGTATTCAGTCGAAACATCAACTATGTTCATTCTGACCATCATCCTGTTTTGAGACGTGCTGGTACTGCTCATAGAGAGCTCTTTTCCGTTGAGATTCGCGCAACTCCTCCTGCCTCTGCTTCATCTTCTCGCGTCGGCGGTCGTCATCCCGTAAGACCCCTTTGTACATGTTCTGTTCCAGATCGATATAAGCCCGATGAAGACTTCACGCCAACATACGCACTTCACGTTCCTGCTCTTGCATGAAACGGACGCCCCATATAGTCAATCCCGTCAAAAGTACGGACGTTAGCAGTGTTGCCTTCGCCGCTCGCGACATTCCGGACCTCCCCTTCAAGTTCTCTGGCTTCGTGATAGCCTCTAGTCTGCGAGCTTTCTTTATGTCGTTCAAGCCTTTTAAAGCGTGTTTGCCATGCCGGTGCAAAACGTCCTGGACGACGGCGAGGAAGCGGAGAATGTCTCAAAAGTCGTCGCAAGAGAAACCCCGAGATTCAGATTGATTTCATTGATGCACAAGTTTGACAAGACTGTATATTATACCCGATCAGACCGTATACACCAAATTTCTACCTTTCCTCCCTACCACCTCCACCCCATACCCTGTGGGCACCGGTTCGACATATTCTCTTGAGTTAGAGGTGCGCGTTCGCCGCTGCAATACCTGTCTCCTCGCCGAACTCATGGGCGAAATAGCAGGCGTGCCACATCAGAACCATGCATCGCGCGTTAGTTGTGGACGAGATACTGCGACAAATATTCAAGGAATTGTACAACCACTACGATTATGTCACTCTCGAGACGATGGGCAACTTGAGCCGGTGCTGCAAGATGTGGAAGGAGCCCGCCCTTGACCAGCTGTGGTCTAAATTGCCCAGTTTTGCGCCGCTCCTGTCCCTGCTTCCGTGCTCTGCTCTCGATGGCGCGCGGGTGACGGTATGATCTTCCAAATATCCTCCGATGGCCCATTGCTGATCGCTGGACCAACAGACGGTCGGCTGCGAACCTACCGTAGACGATATCCGGCTCTTCCAATCATATGCCCAAAGGGTCCGATACCTTACATGCGAACCCATGTCAGATTCTATGGTAGAGCTTCTGGGCGAAGCACGAAGGATGACAAATTCCGACTGTTTGCTTCCGGGACTCGTTGGGTTCATGGGCGTTGCGGTCACCTCAGGTGACATTGCCCAATGGTCGACTATTATCGGTCCGAACCTTCAAAACGTCCGCGTCCGGATCAGTCGCAATGGTGGCATCCTCAGGAATTGCGATGCCGTCGCCGACTGGCTTGGGCAGTTGTTGACCACCGCGCGCCGCATCGAGACCTTCGAATTCCGCGGATGCTCCAGCCAGAGACTGAACGAGTTGTTTGCATCGATGACGATGCTGCGCTCCGTCATCATCAATATCGGCGTCAGAGGCAAGCTGTCTGAAGCGGCTTTGGCTTCCATGGCGACTTTCCCTAATCTCCAGAGCCTCAGACTCAAAATCGGCGGACTGAACGCTCATGCCTTCCGCACTGCACTGCAGGAAAACCCGGACTTCAAATTCCCAGCATTAGAGAAGCTTCATATAGACGCACACAACGACAGCATCATAGACTGCATAGTAGACCACCTACCCCGCAATACCCTGTGGTGCTTCCACGTAGACTTCCAAGGACGGTCCACCAGTAGATCTATATCCACCATCCTAGACAAAATTGCACGCAAGACCGGTGATACCCTACAACACCTGACCATCCAACATGGCGGCGACCTGGACGACGCCGAACACGCACAGATAGACAACAGCGACCCCCGCATCTGGACTATAGACACCGTACGCCCCCTGGCGCGCATCAAGACGCTCGTGAACTTCGCTCTCGATACCCCAGCACCGCCTGTCCTGGAGCAAAAAGACGTAGAGGAGATTTTGGGCTGGTGGCCTCACGTGGAACACGTTCATCTCGCGACCGGCGCCGCGAGCAATGAGGAGGACACGGACCTCGCGCGGAGCATTGCAGCGCAGCTGGAGACTGCGCGCGGACTGAAAAGCTTGATTCTGCCCAAGGTAGACGCGAATGGGAAACCGTTCGACGTGGCTGCACTGTCCCGCTCGCCTTCTCCTATGACCCGCTCGCCATCTCCCACCTCCTGCCTGGATTCGGATTGAATTCCTGGGACTTCTGGCCTACCTTCGGTCCCTTCAAGGCTATAGAGAAGACGTCGTATAGAGCCTATTTGGATGATGCATGCTACCGCATACTTATCCTGGCAGTTGACAAGGGAAGCTTCTCTTAGACCACATAGGCAATCTCGTATCCTGGCTTCGTTATATTTCCTTTGGAGAGATACTGTATATCTGGCTTTACTAATTGTACCTCCTGCCTGTCGGCTCATATTAATAGGCATCGTAATATTCTATACGCATGTATGCTGCCCAAGTTGCGCGTTCAGACTTGTCCTCGAGCAGACACTTTGTAGTAATAACCAAGAAAGATCGACGGACTCATCACACAACGATTCGGAGGCAGCATGTCATGTCATTGATCTGCATAAGCACATAGGGGTACAGCACTACAACATACAGAGCATCAATCACAAGGCAGTCATCTACACTGCCGGAGGCTTGGTGCCGGGCTGGAAGGTGTAGGTCAGACCGCACTTGCCGCAGTACTGACGGTCCTTGTGGAAGGCCATGAAGATCCCAGCACCGCACTCGGCGGCAGGGCACTCACGACGCAGACGCTTGATCTTGCCGTCGGAGTCGACCTTGTAGTACTTCAAGATCGACATCTTGACCTTCTTGCGCTTGTGCTTGATCTTCTTGGGGGTCTAGAGAGGGGACAATATCATCAGGGACAGCTGGAGCACAAATTCAAGGCAAGGTAACGCACGTTGTAGGTCTTCTTCTTGCGCTTCTTGGCACCACCACGGAGGCGGAGAACCAAATGCAGGGTGGACTCCTTTTGAATGTTGTAGTCGCTGAGGGTGCGGCCATCCTCGAGCTGCTTGCCAGCAAAAATCAGACGCTG